CACACACACACACACACACTCAAACACACACACACACACACACACACACTCAAACACACTCAAACACACACACACACACTCAAACACACACACACATCTCTAATTATCGATGGCTCAAGTCCTAACTACATGATGCTTGGATACGTAATAAAGTACACACAAGAGCGTTTTAAGGACCAAAACTTGAGAAATGCACTGAAATAAAACACGTGAGGTGTGGTAACCGTGGATTAATTGGAATAATTTACTCGTTTATCGAACAATAACGCACACTTGAGGTGTAGCGATCATAATGTAGCGGCATCGGTGCGTTTTCAATAATTCTGCGGCCCGTACACAGTTCTTCAATTGCAACTATGTTTTAAACTTATAAGCGCGTTGCACTAAACTAATTAATATTAGCAAACAAATTTATTTTTTTTGCGAAAACATAATCGAGTGACTGCTGAGAGCTGATTTAATGAATCTCACAGACTCCGCCAGATGTTGCGCTGACTGCAATTGAAGCACCTGAGAGTGTCGTGAAAAATATTCCTGGATGTCTCGTGCTAAACTCCGTTTGGAGGTCACACAGTAATCTCAGAAAATGTATAAACAGAGGCACGTAAGGCGCTGAAGCCTTACATAATTAAAAGAGCGCATTTTCAGAGCAGACGGGTCATATGGGCAATAGATGACTTTGGAAACCAGTTGTGAAGAAGTGCTGTCATTTCACAAATTTCACACATGATCTCAGTCAATGCAAAAATATGCGGCCATACTTTTAGTGAACATTGAGGTGCAAATTCAAGCGAGCTGACGTTTAATGCGTTTGCAAATCCTTATTGAGGGAAACGACGAAGCAACATCTTTAAACAGTAAACTTGTGTCAGTGCATTCATCTTCTATGCATAATGGCAGGTATATGAGCTCTTCTGAGATACCAAAACATTACAAAATATTACAATTTTGAAAGTAACAGCAAATTAAATTGGAAATAGATGTTACATCAACAGACTTTGAAGTAGCAGTCAGAAATACACGGCTCTCCTGCTCTAATGAGAGTTCGTTGACATGTAGTTGCAAAATTACTTAGAATGTCTAAAGTGGACTATCGAAATAAAGTGCAACCAATTATTTAATTTTGTTTTTAAGAGAAAAGTAAGAAGCGAAGACGCCATCATAATGGTAAACGTTAGTTTATTGTTTGCGTGGCTTGAGGCTCTGCAGCAAAGTCATAAAACAACATGAGAAATTAAAGTCTGTATTTTGGAAATGTGACCTTTAGCAGCGAGCATGAGCTGGAATATAATAATTGTTACTGTAAGCTGTTTCACTGTTTGCTCAAATTTAATTCAGTCATATATTTTATCAGAGCGTGTGTTGGGTAAATGTTTTTGTGTATAACTAAACTATGTATTTAAATATTTCTAATTAGAGTAATATACAGGAATATGCTGAACATGGCTAGAATATTAGTCCAAATATTATTAGAGGCATCAATAAGTCTGATGAATTATAACAGTTTAATTCATCATATTATTAATAAATATTAGTCAATCTATTTCTTGTTTCAAGCGATTGGTTTGTATTCGTTCATTCCTTCATTTATTCAAGTTTGAAGTGGCCTTTTAAGACCGTATAGGCTACTTATTTTCAAATTATACACAGATTCTAAAAAATTGATGCACTGAACCACATTAAACGCATGCTTCAAATAATCCGAGAAGAAACTTTTTCCATTCAGGCAATGCAAATGATTAAAATACGTATCTGTTTTAACAATGGGTTTCAAACGAGGATTATATAGCCTATAGTAGTGATCACACACAAAGACTCCGATCAATCAGCGCGCATATGACAGTAATTAGTGAAGTAGATCTGAAATGCCATCTTACCATCCACTAACAGCAGGCGCGTGACGTCATGCGGCCGTGACGTCACGCCGTCTACCTGATAGAGGCTGCGGCGCCGCATCTTCAGCCGCATAAACTTGAACATTGCTTTTTACAACCACACATTTGAGGAACTATATGCTATAAATGCATGGAGACGATTTAAGTCACGAGAAAAGGAAGCAAACAGCCTTTCAGAGAACTGACACGTGAGTCACTATTCGTCGCGTTTTAACAGTGTTTGTTTGGAAGTATTGCAGTAGCTATTTGTAGGCCTACAATTATTTAGCCTATGTAGCCTATGAAGTTGATGTATTTTTGTATTATTATCGCTGTGGACAACAGGTTCTGTTATAACTCGATACATCTAAATGTTTCACTTGAAATTGTGGTCGGTCATCCTGCTGCCTGTGCGGAACAAATAATGAATGAGCTCAGCTAAATCAATGTAACAATATAACAGGTGTGTGTTTTGCATTTAGAGCTCAGGTTGAAACATTAGCGCTCTGCACAGGAAGAAATCATTCGTAATTCACGAAAGAAGTGATCACCACTTAACAAAACCTGGAGATTTCAGTTTTGTTTTTTTTTGTTTTTTTTTGAGACATTGTCACGTTTGAGTGCTCGAGATCTTAAATCTTTAAAGTATTTCCGTATAGTAGGCCTGTTCAAAATACTTAACCATCTGGCGGGTATATTGCTATAAATAAATTGCTAATTATTATTCAGTTGTCTTTAAATTCGCATGCGGCGCCTCCTCATCAATGCATCTCTATATAACAATAATAACAGGCTAATAATAATAATAATAATAATAGTCTATATTTCTTTCCAACAAAGCAGCGGTCACTAACACCAGCTGCTGCATAGTCGTAAAAACTGATAATAACATCCACACATCCAACAATTATTCAGAGGCTTCTTTAAAGCCTCCTAAAAAGTGGTAACCTGTAATTGTTACCTTAAATATCTATTTATACCTGATTTAACCCATAAAATGAGTTTTGTTGGTATATAGGTTGATTCAGTGATGTTAAATAATATTTTAGACTTGAATAAAACCAGTTAATTGATGTTGCCAATTTCAGATTAAATGTTTTTTTCTTCAGTGCACGGGCTTTCTTAAAATATTTACATGATTATTATTATCATTATTATTAATTTATTATTGTTATTTATTTATTTGTCAAATAATATCCGGGTTGTTTAGTGAAGAAGTCAGTCAAATGTGGTTGAATGTGTCTGGGGACATCATTATCTAAATTAACCTGAAGGCCAAAACCTGAAACTCTGAACTGAATATGCGTTCATTAAGATTGAGTTGTGTGCTTTATTTGGCTTTGCAATCAGCTCTTCTCTTGAAACACCGTTGTTTTGCTGTAGTTTGTAATTCGTGAATGCAGAAAACAGCCATTCACTGAGAACGATAATAGAGCTGAAATATGCAAATATATTACATTCTCATCCTAAAACATCTCCTGTCAAATGGACCTATTAACTGTGATTACACTCTTGATCAGTGCGTTTGTTGGTGTTTAAGCAATGCATAAAACAAAAAAGACACACATAATCGATTTTATTTGCTTGAATTAAACTATTAGTCTAACCTATAAATGAAGACAGTAAAATTAAGATGTCAATTTCTTGAAATATCGAGGACACCGATATTAAATTTTCTCCCATTTAAACAATTATCGCGAATTGTCATTAAAGAAATCTATAGTTTTCTGTTACAGATTGTATATTAATATAATTCATCTGCAAACTAACGAAACAGATCTTTAGGTCTTCGTCGATGATGCTGTTTTTGTATATTGATTGGGAAGATTATTTAAATGTAAAGGAAGTGTTTTGTGCAACTGTTTCGCTTTAAAAGATTCAGTAGCTTCATATCGCAAACACTGAACCAAAACTAAAGCAACGAATGACAATAAAATCAAGTAAACTAAATATACCGCAGATATGGGTCAATTCATATCTAAAAAAAGAAAAAGCGTGCATTATACTGTCAGATCCCAGCAGGTATTCCTGTTAATTGCCTGTGTAAGAAAATACAGTCTGACAGATCTGACTAAATGTTTTCTCCGTAAATTACAATAGGCTAATGATAATAATGATAACAATAATAATAATAAAGTATTTAAATAAATTAGGCCAGATGCTAAGGCCAAAGCAGGAAAAAGGTTGCTAGACATATGGCCATGATGTCACAACAGTAAAAACATAAACCTTCTGTTTCTTTGTTTATAACATGTGTGTGTGTGAACTGTGGAATTTTCTAACAAATAATTTGGGAAAGCTGGTGACTGAAACTGTGTCGTAAACATTTAGAAATGGCGCGTTTCTGAGTCTGATATTTGTCGTTCAGGGCCGCGGATCATTCGCCGTCAGTAAGGCGGCTCTCAGGCGGCTCTCAGGCGGCTCTGCATTCACCAGCAGGCGCCACTAACCTGAAGAAAGCCGTGCCGAACAATCAGACGTGAAAGCGAGATGTTTTCTGACTGACAATGAAACTGTCACAATAAGCCCATATTAGATTTCTCATCATTGGACATTTTACGTTGTGTTTCCAAATAGTAGCTATGTCATTGTTTGGACGATAGTGGTAAGAGTAAGACTGATTATACACGGGGCAACTTTTTGAGCAATTTTGCCGGTTAACTTTGGGACATGTTGCCATCAACGGGCAACCAGGTGAGACACAGAGCCCACGATCTAAATTATCCAAATAGAAATTAATGTTACCCAGAAAGTGCCCAAGCAACGTTGCTCAAAAAAAGTTGCCCGTGTATCATCAGCCTAAGTCTGCATTAGTCCTGGACATTCACTGAGTGTAATAACGTGTTCATGAACCTCAAATGCAAAAAGATTTTTCCTCTGAACACACCGTTCGGTTTGCTCGTTCCAACACGTCGCCTGTATTCAAAACAGCAAAAGCCCAACTGCTTATTGAACAAATGGGATTGTCAATGGCAAAGGCAAATAAACTTAGCCTCTTTTTTATTTTAACAATTAAGTGCTGACATTGCTTCAATGACTGTTATTAAACCACACGTGAATAACAGTAATTACCTCATGCACATTGACAAAAAAAAAACAACTATGTTCTGGTAACGTAATCAAATTAAATACAAGTCAGGCGGACTAGGGTAACTGCAGAACGCGCTGGAGAACTGGTTTTATCCGCGTGGATAAGGTGGTTTGTGTGCGTTTGAAAAATGTGGTTTGTTCAGCTAATATAGCCTCTTACTATCCAAAAACACTGTTTCCGAAACAAGGTGCAGCGATATTGCCAGAAGCTCGGCTGAGAGGTTCTGAAGGGGAAAAAACGTTTACTTGTATGTCTAAGAAATGATTGCGCTTTGTGGGTGGGACTGGACGCGGGGAAGAGAGGAGGGCTGAGTCCTGCTGCTGCTGCTGCTGCACCTCCACTCGTTCACACCAAACACTCACTCTTCAGGAATATATCTGCAGGAGTTTGGAGGACAGTAATCGCGCGAGATCGCTGGCTGTCCACGTGTTTATTCAATAGAAAAGCGGAGTGGATTGCTTAGCAAATATACTGACGCTCGTGTCAGAGCTTTTGTAACACGCATGATTGTTTTAAAGGTGGAATGAATTTGGACATGGCCTCATCTTTTCATCTGCCGAGAAGCAACAGCACCAGAGAAACGTTAGAGAACTCGAGCAGCGAGTCTTCAGATAATGAAACAGCAGGTAAAATACCTATCATATCATTTACATACCCATCCATAGAATAAACATGCATTTACATACCGAAAGTACATGAAAGCAAGCCTATTTGACTAAAAGCATGCATTTACATTGTAAAAATATGGTCTCCTTCCATATCTGCTTTACCTGTAAATATTTTGTTTTAGTACATAGAAATAACTTATTTGTTTAGTTGTTGTTTTTTCGGCCTAATTTTGCAGAAGCCGTGCAGCGCTTGTTGCATGTTGGCCGCTTGCTGTTTGCAACCTATATTATTAACACATTTGTTGCTTTCTTAAAAAAAAAAAAAAAAATTTATACTACTGTATATATCCGTTTTGATCATACATTCCCTAAATAACTCGATAACCGCTACCAAAACCTGTTTCTGAAATGATATTAAGATTAAACGCGTGTTTATTAGCTGGAGGAGGCTGTTGTATAGGCTAAACTGCGAATCTTTACATGAAGGTAATCTAGATGCAGTAAACAACAATGAACTAGGCCTGAGTTTAAAACACGGGCGAAAGTTCCACTGGATTGGCCTTTAATTTATGTCTTGGATATTCGAAATAATATAGCCGTAAGCACTGTGTGCAAATACGTCCGTTTGAAAGCTATATTTTAATAAGACGTGTTTGCATATTTATGGCTTGACGAGCACATCAGTCTGTGTACACGAATCATGATTCCCTTTTGTCCGACTCCTTCCAAATCTCTAGAAAAAATAGGTGCGACTGAGCACATATCACCTAAAAATTATTCTCCCCAGAAAAGGAGAGGTCTGTCGAGCAGAGAAGTGACGACGGGAATGCCGATGATTCCAAGAAAAAAAAACAAAGACGGCAGAGGACTCACTTCACCAGCCAGCAGCTGCAGGAGCTTGAAGCCACTTTCCAGAGGAACCGATACCCGGACATGAGCACCAGAGAGGAGATCGCAGTGTGGACCAACCTCACGGAGGCCCGAGTCCGGGTACGAGAAGCCTAAAAACCCTAATGCAGTCAGAAACATTTGCATTAACACAACATATTAGAATGACCTTGGATGTGTTTCAGGCCAAGACTGGAGAATATTTTCTCACTTATTTCAATGGAATATGCAATATTTACAACACGATGCAGATTAACATGCAAATTAAAATTAGCTAACCAAATCAGTTATAAAAAGTCTTCTATTTGTGAATTGTTCGTTCAGTGTGTATCCTGTTATGAATTTGAAAATAGATCATTTTTCAAATAGCCTACGAGACGTGAGTTTTTTTCTCTCATTATAATTTAAAAGCATTAAAAGCTCTACTTCCAGGCCACGAAAGGAAAAGTAGGCTATATATCGGGGTTTTTTTTCTAGCGATATTCAGAAATATTTGCTAGGCCGATTTTTAAAATAATTCCACAGCATTCCAGAACCAGATTCTGATAGTGAAGGGATTTAGAATAAAAAAGTTCGGTTAAAAGTATACTGTCGGTTAAATTAAGAGACAAATAAATGCATTACAACTATTTAGATGCAAACCCTATATTTTTAAATGCTTATGAAATATATAACTTGCTGATATTGTAAATTGCCATTTAAGTATGCACATACAAATGTAGGTAATTGTGAATTTTAAATGTTTTGCAAATGACCTCTATAGCAAAAAAAAAAAAATTTTTTTTAAATTAAGCATATAGGACTACTGCTTTGAGTCAACGTTTTGGTCTATAACAGCATTTGTTGAGCTTGAGTGAATAACGCGTCCTCTTCCATAGGTTTGGTTCAAGAATCGGAGGGCGAAATGGAGAAAAAGGGAGCGCAACCAGCAAATGGATTTGTGTAAGAACAGTTACCTGCCCCAGTTCAGCGGACTAATGCAGCCGTATGAGGACGTCTACCCCGCGTACACCTACAACAACTGGACCAACAAAGGCCTGGCCCCAACCCCGCTGTCCACCAAGAACTTCACCTTCTTTAATTCCATGAGTCCCCTCACGTCCCAGTCCATGTTCTCAGCCCCGACCTCGATCTCCTCCATGAGCATGGCGTCTGGGATGGGACACTCCGCCGTGCCTGGCATGCCGACCACCGGCCTGAACAACATCGGTAACCTGAACGGTATCGGGAGCTCCGCGATCAGTCCGGCCATGAGCTCGTCAGCGTGCCCCTACGGACCTCCGGGATCTCCTTACAGCGTCTACAGGGACACTTGCAACTCCTTAAGACTGAGATCCAAGCAGCATCCATCTTTCGGATATAGCGGGTTGCAGAGTCCCGGCTCTAGTCTAAACGCATGCCAGTACAACAGCTGACGAGTTAACCTCCAGTGAACGGACCCCGGGAGAAATAACAACCGTACTGGATTTGGTGCGATCGGCATTTTGCAGTGGAATATGCGGATTGTCTGTTTACCTAAACTTGCACAACAATTTAAATCCATTGTTTGGATTTCAACGTTTTGAAGCAGGTTAAACTCATACATTGTACATAAATATAAACGTGGAACAAAATGATGCAATGCTCCAAGTGGGAACAATGGTTGGTCAGAACACAAGCTTGTAATTAGCGCAGCGTGTCGTGGTAATGCAGTGTAGGCCTCGTGAGTCGCGTTTGTGTGTCGCGTTCTCTTGTATTCAGTGTCACGCAGAGGGTTTGTTGTCCTCGTGGCCTCTCCTGGATTCTTTCCACGTCGTTGTTTCATTGTGTCGATAATAGATTTACCGCATGCTTACTTCGAGTGCAAAAAAAATGTTTTGTAACAATTATATGAATGTGTAGACTAAATAACAAAGCTATAACTTTATGTTGTACCCGTGTTGATTGAAATTGTGCTTATGTTTATGGTAATGTTTGAATAAACCTCAAAAGAAAGAATTTCTAAAATAATTTGTCGAATCAGCGTGGGCTGCAGCTTGATTATTTGAAGAAGAAAAAACGGACATTGTAGGCTACATAATCGAAAATTAACTTTGAATTTACAGTTTTCATTAAATAATATTGTACTATCTTAAACAATTGTTCAATCATATCTAACGGATTTTTTCCCTGATTAAATTAGCCGAGCTAAATTTCAATGCATGCCGAATCCTGTACTAAATACTAAACTCTTGCCTTTTCTCTTTCCAGATATTATGCACGACGTCAATATATGTCTATAAGCTGTTTGACAATGCACTAAATCCTTCCATTGGCTTTTTTTAATGCTCCAGCACATTTCTTAATTATAAATGATTTCCAAAGCACGCAATTATATCCAACACTATACCTTTAGGATGAAAGAGAGAAAGGCAAACTTTAAAATCTATTCCTTATCTCGGTTTGCCACATTAAGTGTCTGTTTTTATCTGCATGGGTGAATTTAGGTGTAGCTATTTAGATGATACGAAGGAGAGGGTCTGTCGTAACTGATGTTTTCCTTAATGCCACTGATCCTTTTCCACTGATAATAATGCCTTTAATTTCCTAAAAGGTCGGCTGAGAGAGGCCCGTGTTAATGGTCACTTCCTCTGCTTTGCCCTGTTAGGCTAACAGAATGAGCTCACTGCACAATGTTGACATGCCTTTTCAAGGACGCGTTAAACCTCAAATCAGGCAAGAGACGGTCTGAAAGAAAGTGAACACACATACCGAGGACAGCGTCAAACCCGCGTCTTCGAGAGAATCCGGTGAAACCGAGCGAGGCTGCATGCACTGACGCGCACTGGCTTGTTAAGCGTTGCCACACTGATTCTAATCATGCTTGAAAACACTTGAGCAGAAGTAGCCTATTATTTCTTTATACGCAGTAGAAATAAAAAGAAAACTAATTCTAGTGAATCACGCTACTTTTTCCTCATACCCGTGCGTCATGTAAATTCAAGTTCGGATTAGATCAGTTAGATTTAAACGAGTATTATTTTAAGAATTTATATTTAAATAGCATAACGAATTATGCAACTAAAGCGCACAAAAGAGAAGCACAAAAATAACCGCCAGATTTTTGCAAATGTTTATTTTTTTATACCGTCACTCTAAAGCAAGAAAATACCCTTCTTCAGAAATGCAATATTTGGTTAGTAACTTAATTTCTTTATCTAATTTTAGCTCACATCCAGATCTAATATAGCTATTGCATCCTCTCCGATCAATCAATCACTGATATGAAGTCGAGCCACATTGTGTAGACTGATATTCTATCGCTTATGATAAGGAGACAATGCATGCCACTACAACATGTTTAATTACTCATTCTTAATCAATCTTCATCAGTCTCTTAAGAAATCCATACTTTGGCACCTTGTAGGCTTTCCAATCTTCTTCAATTAAAGCTGGGCTAGAGAATGTTCTCCTAACGACACAACTAACACGAATTCTCTCAATAGTTCTTACGTTTCAAAGTGTAGTGGGTTTATAATAAGCTATGGTTGTTTACTTTTAGCTAGTGTTACTATGTTCATGTATTGCTTTCACGGTACTATTCATAATACATAAATGTAATAAAAGTATAACTACAACAACAACGGCGACACTATATTGATGTAAAAATCGCTCTTTCAAATAAAACTGATTTTACAGTTTTTTTAACATTGAAGTATTTGGAACACCTTTTTAAAGTTAAAATATTATAACAATAACTTAATTATCAAATGTTTCATCGGGTAACCTAAAATGTTGCAACATCTACATTTACTTTTTAAAATTGGAATTGAATATCACCAAGTCGGGCTAAACTGCACACTGACGACAGTCCTTTTGAAGGTTGAGCTCAGGTAGAAACAACTACTCATTTACAATAATTATAATAACAATTATGTGACATTTACTCTTTATGTGAAGCTAATTTCATAATTACTATAATTACTTGGAAAATTCTGTACATTTAAAGAACTTTTTTCGTTTTCTATATTTTTTGCTCAGTCAGCTCGTGCATCAATTCAGTGTAAAGCCATAGCAACCTATACATAACCTTATGACAATAAAAAGAACTTTTTGCCTGAAATTGCACTTAACATTTAAATGTTTTGTATGTTTAATCATAATCCATCGGTGTAAACATCAAAAGAGTATGTATGCTATAAAGTACAGTCACCGCTGCACTTTGTAAGGTGAGATATTATAGTGTAATAATTCTGTCACAGCAAACACAAAGGTTGTTTGGCAAAGGAAGATGGGACGCTTGATAAAACAGAATTACATACATTACTTACATTGTTTGAAAAGACTTAGTTAAAAAAATGCAGAATAGCTACTTATTCCCATTCACGAGAAGCAATATAACAACCCGACAATATCCAATGTGCTGAAAAAATATGGGCCAATTGACCTTTTAGATAAAACCAGGGATTATTATTTATATGTAATACAAAATAGTTTGCTAAAGACTTTTAACCTAAATAAATAACAGAGCGAATTTAAGCAATGCTTACGATCAGCCCAAAAACATAAAATGGGACTGTTCACAACATAAAGACACACAATTTAAATCCCTCGCATATCTAACTAACCCTGCAGCACATCAGCCCTGAAGCCTTTTAGACTCACAAAACTGGCTATTATCATGTCTAGAGGGAATGATTAACCAAGCGGGTTTGTGACAGCAGAGCCTGAAATACTTACTTACTCTGATTCTCCATCTGATTGAGTTTCATCCTGCTGCTTCAGTCTTTTCAGATCTAATGAAAGGAAAACTAGCGACCAGGTCCCTGTTCTTATATTATTATGATTTGTAGACACTTAATCTGTTCTGCCATGCAGGCTGCTAAATCGAGAAAGAGTGTTAATTACATTAAATGCAAAATTACATGTTACTAAATGCTGGATTTTAGTGCGATGAGAAAATTTGGGGAAGGAGAAGTTTGGGGGAAACCTCGTGCTGGGCCTGCCATTAGATCGACAGTGAATATAAAATATATACTTCTGTATAGTACATAGAGTGTATATGTCGGGTAGGCCAAGAGTGAATTCTACATGGGGATAAAAAAATATAGACCACACTTAAATTGTTCCTGTGCATATTTGTAAGTAATGAGTAATACTAATAATAAATAGTTGTATTACTAGTAATAATAATAATAATATTTTCATTACACATTGTAATTTAAATTGTTTTTGTAATTAACATGTGATGTGGACATTGGTAGGTAAACTGTTAATCGAACTGTTTAGTAAAAAAAATAAAAAAATCTTGAAGGAGCTCGTTGAACACAGGTACAGTGATAAACAATATTTACAAATAAATTACCACTGGAATGAATACATAATGCAAATTAGCCTACTGCAGTTTCGCCACACTAGCCGACTCTGAACGACTCGATTTGGATGGTGCGCGTCACATTTAGCAGCTGTTTTGCTGATTTTGCCCTCCTGTCAGTGAGCCTGTCACACTCACCGATGAAGAACGCTGGATAGGTGACACAATAAACGACTGACTTGATTTTTTTTTCCTTTTTCGATTTCCTGCTACGTGAAGCTAGCCGAAATTAAAAACAAAAGCGCTGCGCGAACATAAACTGTAGTAGCCTACTGGACTGAATTGGGGTGTAGTTTATGGAATAACTTTACCCTGTTAAAGTAAATCCACGCAGCTTCAGTGATAAATTTAGTCAAGTGGAAATAGTCTTAAACGGACCATTCACCCAAAAATGAAAAATCTGTCATCATTTACTCTCCCTCATGTCGTTCCAAACCTGTATGAGTTTCTTGCTTCTGCTGAACACAAAAGTCATTTTGAAGAATGTAACCAAACAGTTGATGGTAGCCATTGACTTTTCCATACTATGGAAGTCAATGGGGACCGTCAACTGTTTGGTTACACACATTCTTCAAAATATCTTCTTTTATGTTCAACAGAACCCCCCTGCAGTGCACAGTATATCTTACATAACAGTCAAGGGTCAAAAGCCAACTCAAAGGTTTTGACATCCATTCAAACTCTAAAGAGGTTATTACTCCACCCCGTATTTGAGGCTTCTGTGCTGCTTGCCCAAACTGGCTGTCAATGGAGAAAGATGACTTTTGCAGCCAGAGGGTTTAGTTACAGCATCTACCGGCAGGGGTAACTGGACCGTGCCGACCTTGACCTTTCGGCTGGAACAGGAATAAGAGGACAGGATCACTAGGACAGGGGTGACCACTGGATCTGTGGCAGGCTTTAACATGACAGATGGGCTAAAACAGGGAATGAAGGCTGTGTTAGCATCTCTCCAGGAGGAGTTAAAGCAGGAACTGAAGGCTACACTTCCTAGCTTGACCAAAGGAATCTTCTTAAGAAACTGAATAAAGCTAAGGTGTCACCGAGGAAGAGTCGGATCAACTGGCGATGCAATTTAGAAATCCCCAGCTTAAAGAATGGAGGACACTACCAACCTAAGCCAGAAGACAGCACAGTATGACTAATTGTGCCAAAATAAGGAAATAAACATACAATATATACAAAAAA